TCGGCCAGAGAATCTTGCTACCTTACTGCCCGCCAAATTTCTGAAGCGCAGTTCGGCCAGAGAATCTTGCTACCCTGGGTTCGTATAAATGCTATGTTGCTATACCTCTTACACACCTATACAAGTTCAAAGCACGAATGAGACTTCAAAGCTGTGGTTTGCTGTGCATGTGTGGCACGAGAAAGATATACGTAAACTCTGGGGGTGATGCTTTGATGCTTTTGGAGCGGGTGGTGACGCACTCGCCAACTATACCCTTCAATCGGAACTCGAACAGCTCAAATCCAGAAGATTCTGAAAATGGGAATTATCTATGTGTGAAGTCGGTCGGGGGTCGGGGGGGGTGGCCCGAGAAAGGTATACGTAAACTCTTGGAGGTGATGTTTTAGTGATTTTGGAGCGGGTGGTGATGCAAGAGTGCATTTTTTGCTTTTGCATGGTTACCTATGCGTGGGCAGAACAAGACATGAAGCAGATTTGACACGCGGCCGCAAGCGGCTGCGCGAGCTCATTTGATTACTTCGACGCGCAGTTGTCGAGAAAGGGAAGCGCTGGCTTTCGTTTTGCAGCTTCTCAGGTTTTGTGGCAAAAACATGGTGTTTTGCTGAATAGCCCGCCTCTGTGCATGCGACTGACCGTCCAGGCTTAGCACCACCAGAAACAATTCGTTTTGCAGAGCCATCCTTGCAGGATCCTTGAAGTGTTTCTGCGCGCATCCTTGCAGGCAAACGATCGCTGCGAAGGTCTTTTGCTGCGCCAATGCAGGCAAGGTATTCTTTTTCGGTGCGACATGATGGAATCCTTCGACCAGGAATTTGTTCAACGATTCCTTGATGTGAGGCTTCCCGGTTTCAAGGCTTTGAAGGCGGACCAATAACCAAAACCAATCGTTTCTTTGGCCAGGCACTTGGTGTGCCCTACCCTGCTGTCGGATTTCAGTTTTTTCATCCCTTGGCCCCTAGACATGGATTACCTGCAAATTGTTTACCAGGCTAGCGCCTGCAGCCGCCGACCCCCAGGGGCCAGACCACAGGCAGCCAAATGGGATCGGGGAACCCAAAAAACAACACGGAACCCCTAGAGACATGATCTGTCACTGCATCGCCAAAGTAGGCAGAAGAGAGCACGGCAAATGGGTTAGCGTTTTTCTTTGAACATCTGGGAACCCCAAAAACATAGACAACCACAGAACTACCTAGAAAAACCAGAGAAAATCATGGAAAAACC